TGGCTAAAGTCAAGCCTCTCCGTTCTCTGATGAACACTTGGAAACAGCCATTCAGGTCTTTGTCACAACTCAGCTGGATTACTGTAAAAGCGCTCGATTTTGGAGGCGGCCAATCCTCCACGAAGCGCCTCCAGTGGGTCCAAAATGCTGCTGCTCACCTCTTGACGGGTACTCGTAAGAGGGAGCGCATCATTCAGACTCTGGCATCCCTTCATTGGCTCCCCATACGTTCGGGAGTTCTTTTGAAGATCCTATGATTTGTTTTCAAATCTCACCTCTCCCCACCTTCCCTCTCTGAGCCCCTCCGCACCGACTCGCCTGCCCGGTACCTCAGGTCTGTGGAGCGGACACTACAGGTATTGGAGGCACCAAGGTACCTCTCTATGGAATGACCTCCTGCTGAATGCTGAAAGCTGTTCCACTCCAGTCCTGCAGGTGGCAGTAATGTGTTTTCACAGCTGACAAAGAAAGCACAGTGACAAACCGTCATGTCGTTCCACACTCTACATCGTAGAGTCTACATTGTTGACTTTGTTTAGCTTCATGACAAAATCAACATTTTAGACACAGCTCTCAGGTTGCATTTAACAAGTCGCCACGCCCATCCTCACATGACAGTTTTTGGCGTATAAAAAAACAAAAAGATTAAAAAGGCTCAGAGATGCAGCATTTCGAAACCTCTTCCACCCTTAATGTGACTAAGACAACCCGCATAAGTCAATTGATATATATTTTGTACTGTGTTCAGATGGTTTCCATTCAAACTCATGTTAAATGGAAGTCAGCACACACTTGCCACCATTTCAAGTGCTTCTAACCCCAAATAAAGGTCACGCGTGGCAGCGGGCTTTTCCCTGCATTTTGTATTTTACTTTTAAATGATTATTATTATTTTTGTTTTTCTAGTAGGACCCGAAAGGTTTTGTTTGAACACTGACTGCTATATTGAACCCTTGAGAATTCTCGCCAACTTATTGAAGTAGCTACGTTGTGCTTTTGATGGCGAGCCGTGTTGCGTGCGCACCAAATGTAGCTTTTGCTGATTGAAAAGTTCAATCTGGGTTTCATCGGACCCCAAAACAGTTTCCTAAATGCGTTTGGAGGATTTCAAGTGTGTTGCTGCAAAATGGAGCCAGGTTTAGATTTGTGTGCGTGTGCGTGTTCCATACGTTTAGCAGAATTCGTCGTGGGGCCATCGACTCGTGAGAACATCTGAACTTCATTTGGAGCTAATGGGAGGCACTTTAAATGGTGGCAGGTGTAGGCTACTTGGCATGAGTTTGAATGCGATTGTTGAATTGTAAATGGAGGCCCTTCCACCACGATAAGAGTACGCACGCGTATGCCACCACGTTATTTCAGTTGTTTATTCTTCCTTCCCCTCTCTCAACTTGGCGTTTTTTTTTCAGTTGAGTTGCACAAGTTATCGCTCACACTAAGTAAGGGCGGGATACGTTTTGAAATAACTCATCGTGGTGTCATTTTTTTTACATCACAAAGCCGTGCCATTTCAACACGGGTGGGTAAAGGTTTTTTTTTTTTTTCTCTCTCTCAGCTCGATACAGTTCAATTCGACACCACCGCAAACTGATCTGGCGTCAACAGGCGACGTCACGCGACACTGCAGTAAGCTGTTGTTTTGATGTGTTCAAAAACAGAAACAAACAAAAAGCGACCGCTCCGATGACACCACGCGGGCACGACCGTGAGTCGGTGGCATCGAAGCCCAACAGAGATCTGATATGGTTCGGCCGCTTTCGTCGTTCTGAGGAATCCCAAAACGTCAGCGTTGCACAAGCGAGCGAGAAGCGTGATGTGACTCGAAGCTTTTTTTTTTTTTGTTTTGTTTTGTTACACGAGCATGTGAAGGAGAGAGACTGAAACGGATAGGCCTCATCGTGACTCAGCATTACATGGGCCTGCACAAGCTTTTTTTTTTTTAATCATCAAGCTGACGCACTGCCAACTCAGCTTGGGCTCCTCTCTGATGCGTCTCCGCGCGGCAAGGGACGGACGAGGAGGACGCAGAGAAAGAGAAAAGGAAAGGAGATGACTTGAAAGGGGAGACAATCGGCAATGAAGCGCGAGGAGAAACAACGCCACGCTGGCCCGAGTGGAAACGAGTGGCACAAATGTCAAGGAAAGAAAAACACGAATGACAGCCAGAGTTGAGGAAAGCAAACGCGTGAGTGTGAGAGAGCACAGCCGTGACAGGAGAGTAAAAGATAACCAGTGACAGAAAGACGCGAGTGGGGGTGGGGGTGGGATGCGTCACAACGGGAACGACCGGCTCACATCGAAACCGCAGAAGCGCACCGTCAACGGTGTCCGCACGCGTTTTTTTGCGAATGAGGTCACCCCGAGGAGAAATCCTATTCAAGAGAAGCGTCCTCACCAGACGATTCAGTAGCGTCCACGAAGCCATTTTCAGTGAAACACAGTTGAGTCCGATGCCAGCGAAAGCGAGAAGCGCAAGGAAAATCTCGGCCGTCCTTTAAAACGCAAAGAGCCATCACTTAGACTTAGACGCGAACATACATTCATCCGAACGACCGGACGTACGTGTCCTTTCAAAGTGACCGGCGGTGGGTGATGGCCTTTGTTTCGTTTTCTGTTCTGGGAGGCACGTTCAAGTGACCCATCTTCTCAAGGGGCTGACGTTGGCCGGCGATGCTGGGAGCAAAAGTCAAACTCATTGAGCTTGTTGAGGAGAAAGGGAAAACAAGCGCCTTATAGACTTGGCGGTTGTGTTTCTTTCTTTCTTCGGCCAAGCGACAAATGTCAGAGAATGAAGCGCCGGTGGAGAGAACGCACAGCAGCCCGGCAGGGGCCGGTGTCGAAGACTGATAAGTCCAAGCCCGGGGCCTCACGCACCCCCACCCAAGCGCACATGCGAAGTTATCCAGCGACGCGACGCGCCTCGCACTCTCACATTCGACTGGATAACAAGTGAACCCTGTGACCCCATCTTCCCGCCATGGTCGCATGCCAACGATGACGCACTCAACGCAGCTAGCTAACCTACTCTGGAACGTCAACGTTCAAGTGTTTTTTTGTGAAATTAACGTTTTTTTTTTTTTTTTGTGGAGGTTCGTGTGATTGAAATGACAATCCGATACGCGCTTGATGGAGAAAGACAAACTTCATATTATCATGTTTCAAAGTTTCATTTCAGTATATGCTTGATTGACCTCCAACGCTACGTTCTCACAACTCGTACACAATGGAGCACACGGAAAAAAGGGCCAACTTGAGCTGAATGAAGCCAAGGCCTCATTAACTGATAATACAGACAGGAAGGTTCGACTTCGGGAGGGTAGCATGACAAGATGTCCTTCAGTTTGTTACAGTGTCTCAATCCATGCGGAATCTACCCATTGAATTCACAAGGTATCAATTGTTGGCACCGGAAGATGTTTTGGCTTCCAGGTGTCCACTGAGGGGCATATCGGTGGGCTGGGCTGGGAAGCGCGACGTGCAATTGAGGAGGAATGTTTTTCTGATATGTTACTTGTATTTTGCATATCCGGTGTCCTGCGAATAAAAAGTGGTCAGTGGGGGTGCGAAGGTGGGGTTTCGATCTGAGAGGCAACACGACCTGTACTGCCTTCGAGGAACTTCGCCCCCTTTGCTGATTAGCAAAAGACAAATCCGTTCCTGAGTTGAGTCGAGTCTTTTCATTCAAAGTTCAAGATGTTCGGGTGAATTCCCTGACAGCGAGGGGAGAAAAAAAAGGCCGGTGGCACGACTAAGTACAAATTTTTTATTCTCAATTTGTTGTATGGCTTTTCTCAAAAGGACTAGAAACGTCACTCGCTGACACAAGCAGGAAGTGATCTGGAAATAGGCCTCGTCTGGAGCGGCGCTGGCACAAAAATGCACCGACGTGGTGACAAAAGCCACGCGTGTGCACGTGTGCTTCTGCAGGTTAATTGGCATCAGTGCTACAACTACAGTCATAGTACAAAAAGAAAAACAAACAGGCAATTTTAACTTAGTACCTCTTATAAATACCTACATATAAATAGTGTGAATGTACTTGAGGACTGAAAATGGCTTGAATGCAGTGCTTGGACAAGTGGTGAGAGTGAGACACTGGCACTGGCGGAGTGCGGTGTCGGCGAGCGTCTATGATGGGAACGCGGGGGGGGGGGGGGGGGGGGCGCTTGGTCCCCGACGGCCACCGACTGCAAGTGATCATCGCCAGCCATCTAAAATAACCAACATATGAGTGGTTCGGGTTCATGACTGACTGCTGGAAACAGCAGTTACAAAATCTGCACTTCTGGCAAAAGAAACTGGGGTGAATCGAGGGGGGCCGCGGGAGGGGGGGGGGCAGACATTTTATTTATTAAGGCCTCTTGAATAAAAAGAATAAAAAGTCTTCCTGATATTGTCCAGGCAGATAGAATGCAGCTCCACGTCTTGCATGTTGAGACCCCCCCACTTTTTTTTTGTGTGTGACATCAAACATGATGTCATCCAGGTTGGGAGCCAAGCTCTGGGAGTTTGTTCAAGGTGGCGGTGGCGCAGCGCTTAACCTCACTGTGACGCCCCCCCC